ATTGACATCAGTGGTGCTGTTTCCCGCGCAAATTCCCCCTTGGCGGGCACTGGCACCGCTTCCCCCGCAGCCGCGTCAATGCCCAGATCCTGTGGCAGTTTGGCCGCAAAATTCCCGGGGCGCGGTGTCGCTTTTCCCTCCTTGCAGCCCGCTTCAGTCTGCTTGCCACGCAAAAGGGGCATCTGTAGTTCCTGCCTGGTCAGTGGGCGGTTGCACAGACAGACATGCGTCAGCGTCACCTGACTGCAGCCTGAGCCACTGCAACCGTCACCTCCAACGTAGAAGCATGAGACGTCGAGCAACTGCGCCCCACGTGTAACTGTCGTTGCTGAGCTCCCCAAAGTTTTGCCACCCACGCACACGGTGCCCATGCCGTTCTGGAGCCCAACTGCCACCCGGTACGTTCTCTCCAGCCCCCAGTTCCCGTGCTGCGCTTCTCCCGCCTCACCGTCAAACGCCACCTCCCGCTTATTGTCCGCCGTGACTGACAGTCCCACCATCCTCACGCTCCCAGCGCCACCCACAGCCACCATAATGGCGCTGCCGCTGCCTGCAGGAGCCGCCCCAATTGTCGCCGTCACCAAAAGAGTGAACTCCTTCTTCACAATGTGGAAGCGTTGATCTCGCCACCGATTACCCATAGGCCACTCTGCCCACACTCCAGGCCCCTCAAACGTCGCACCGCCCTCAACCTTCGTTGCTGTCCCAATCACCGTGGCACTCGCCGCGAGATATTCCTTCACCCAGCAATCCCTCTCACCCTCGTTGGACAAATATCCGACCAGTCCATCCGTGGGCATAGGAGTGCTGCAGGCACCGTCGGATGCGGTTCCCTCTTTGCTGGTGGAAGTGCAAGGCGTTGTAACTTTCTTGTCGACTGCATCCCAATTCCTCAGCGCAGTATTTATTTCATCCAGTTACTCAGTGAGGTGTGCGAGCACAACACGCCCTTTTCCTGCATTCCACTCGTACAGGGCAAACACTTCACCACCCTTGTACTGCAGAGTATCTGAGTTTTTAGAAACACCATCAGCAAATAACGGTCCAATGGGGTAAAATCGATTCATATCAGTCATATAAAGACGCAACACGCTCGTGGCTCTCCGAATATTATTCTGCCTGGGAAAGGCAAACAGCATTACACTCCTCCCCTCGATGGATGCCGTCACAATTTCGAGCCGGCCACCAGACGTAGCACTCTTCAAGGCCTCACTCAAGACATTCAAATGTGCTCCGCCAAATTACATCCATTCCTCCCCCATTTCACCGGAATCATGCACTTTCCCGTCATGGCCTCCATGCGTGGCGGCCATGAGGGGTTTTCCCTCCCACTCAAAGAGATCGGGATCAGCGCAATCCCGTCAGCGAAACCCTCCGCAGGGAACACCCAATTCCTGCCACAGCCCTTCGAATGGATGATGTTGCAGACTTTTGTGTTGTCCCCCTTCACAGCCACAAGGGGAAACAAAATCGCGGTGCCATTCGCCACCACGCCCCTGCCGCCAATACCCCAGAAACCATTCCATGACTTCGCTCGTAGCTGAGAGTCAACAACAGCCTTGGAAGGGCTCCCAGCACCCCACGTGATGCGTTTGCCCACATCGTTGGAGACCAAAACGTCACCCAAAACAGGCACAAGCTCCCACCTGTGTGGAGTTTCCAAAATCGCGCTGGCATTTTTCGCGGGAAGGCGTTCCACAGGCAGAAAAATATTGCCGTCTTTCGTCAACGCCTTGGGACCGTTCAATTGAGACGCGTGAACCGCCTCTTCTCTTCGTTCCACGGCAATGACCGTCCTCCAGTCCGTCACGCTCTCCGCTGCGATTCCTTTCTTCCACTCTTCCCGTGTAAAACTCACGTACTTTGCCCAAATGCCAACACTGGCACTAGAAGGGACTCCCTAATTAGCCTTGGCAATACCCACAATCAAGCCATAGTGGTTCAACAAGAGAATGAAAAATAAACGATTTGACAACATTTTCTCCATAGCTGTTGCCTCTCAAATGCGCCAGAAGACACCCTCGTTTCCCATGGTACAAAAATAACCGTAGGCTTTGGATCACTCGCCTTACTGGCACGCGCACCTCCAGTATCGCAGCACATCATCACGACGAGGAGGAGCAGCACCGCGGAAGTAAACACACGCCGGGACATGTTGGGCCTCTGCGGCTCACTCTCTCCTCCTTCCCTCCTCCTTCCGCTGGATCCGGTCACGCGGCGATAATTGTGTGTGCGGGGTGCCTTCACTGCAGCAACACGTGAGTGCATATAAATATGTATGTGTGGGCGGTGTGTGTGCTGTTGTTCCTTTCAGTGCCCTCGAATTTCACAGTAGCGATTAGCGCTTGTTTGCTTTCCTTTTCAAGTGTGTGTGTGTCAGAAATGGGGAGAAGAGCACAGGGAAGCACATTAGACACACCAATGGGGTGCACAGCGTGTCACTGCAGCAGCAGCAATCATTTATTCCAACCATTCACACGCCGAGGTTGAAGGGCTGTGTGTTTTTTCAAAAAATTCGACGCACGACCACCAACAGACGTGCCAGCGCTCATAGCCAAAAAAAAAAAAAAAAAAAGGGATACCCGCCTCGTGGGCAACAGGACAACATCTCCGGCCCACACAAAAAAGTAGCGGGAAAAGCACTAAACAGACAACAGTCAGCGGCACACACGCCAGACCCAGCTGTGCCGCACGGAGCCAGTCGCCTGCCCTGTTGCTGAGAAACACAGCATGGAATATCCGCCGGCCATTGCGTCGGGGATGCACGCCAAGCCGTGCACAAAATCCCACCAGGACCCAAAGCATTAACTCTAACTTCGCACACATCCCCCATAGTCGCATCCTCGCCATTCCGAGCTGTGCCTCAGAAAGTGGTGAAGGGCAGCGTCGAAGGAGTCAAACGCCTCCGCACCGTCGCAGTGCATCAGACTGAATGAAAGGCCAAAGTCCTCCACACTCATCACAGACGCGTCACACGCGCCGCCGTACTTCTCCCTCATGGAACGCCAATCAAAAGTAAATGTCAACTCCCTCTTTCCCAGGGCGGCAGCGTGGGCCATTTCAAACGCCGTCCCGCAGTCCGGCCCATCCAAGAAAAACAGACACAGGTCCGCAATGACGGCGTCGCGCCGCCTTACCATCTCCATTTTCTTCACCCACATCTCCCCAGCCCCTGGGGCCACGTTTCCAGCGGGAATGAGCAGCACGGCGCAGTGCACCCACAGAGCCGTGCGCACACGATCCTAGCACGCCGCACCCGTGTCTGCGTCGAACACAGCGGGGTCAGCAATGTACACTCCACACATTGTGAAACTGCCACCTTGGCTCCTGTCCCTCCGCTCCTCCAAACGTAAAAGAAAAGGAAGCGGAAGAAGTAAATCAGAGAACGGCGCCGTCGCAACAAGGCAGAAGCACGAGGAGCACCACTCACGCAGGACAGGCGTCGCTCGCAAGCAACGGAAACACAAGTTGAAGACAGAGGAAGCCAGGAGCACAAAAATGCAGGCCTCCTCGGAAGAATGCGCCCTCAATAAAATGAACGCGCGGCAAGCAAATTAAGAACAACTGTGACGTCGCTGACGCGGCAAGCGGCAGACAGCGACGGGCAAGGTGCCGCTGACGCTACTGCATTGTCCACATTCCGCTCCGCCGCCCTCGCCCAGCGCCCAACGTGGAGCGTGACGCAGAAACGAAGAAAAAAATAAAAGCTGCGGATCGCATCGTTAGAGTGTGGAGGGTCCACTTATTGCGGACAACGGGCCCACGCACGTGCCGTCCATGCCGCCTACATCAAGACACCTCGGAGAGCAGAAATACGGCCTCCACGCCATCCAGCGCGTTGCTGGGGCGGCACGGTAGTGGTGAGGCAAACACACACACACCTCATCCACAATGCGGCAAGTGAACGGCAAAAGAGCACAGCAACCACAACGCAAACTCCACACACGCGCAGAAGAGAGCGCGCACAGCCCGTCACTTGTTTGTTAGTGAGTGTGTGCGTGGGATGGACGCCACACCAGCAGCAGCTTCGACGGCATCGACGTCTCATACAATAAAACACTCGGCATCTCCACCTCGTGACGCCGGGCCCCAGAAAAACAATATGTGGGTGCAGCGCCTCAACCATTCAAGCCAGAAGCACGGCGCATCCAACAAACCCGCCTCCCACCCCATCGTGTGGGCAAGACAATGCAGCGGAAAGCTCACACATTAATGCCAGCAATACAATCCCCACGCGCTGTGCACCACAGTGTCAGCTGCGTAAGCATGTGCGACTTTCAGACAATGCAGAACAAAAACAAAAAATGCATTGACGATGCACAGTGGTCCGGAGGAAATACATATGTCACAGCCATCCTCCGTCTGCAGCACGGGATAGTGGCCGCACAGGCTGCAGTTGCGGCCGTACTCGCACGCCTTCAGCGTTCACAGCGTGTGCAACATAACGTGTGTATGTTTACTTATGCTTGTGTGCATGTCAGCGCCTATACATGCAGAGCAGCTATGCCGCAGAAGAGAATTCAAAGAGAACAAAGGGCAGAGAGAGAAGGACAGCACACACGCAAATTACTCGCTTCATCAGAAACACACGCAGCCGGTGGAATGGTAGTACTCAACCACAACAAAAGTAAAACAATAAAAGAAACAAAAAAAGCCGAAGCGTGGGACGACCAGCGCACACACTCTCATTGCTCCCGTAAAGCAAAACACACACACAGGGAGAGAGAGAGAGAGGTCGCCCACTCAATGCAATGAAAACAAAACAAAAACAGTTACGGTGCTCCGCCCATGCAGCCAGGCAGGACCGCAGCGATGCGTGTCGTGCAAAAGAGAGCACCAACGGGCATGCATGGGTGTGCATTCACATATACAATGGGCACATTATGTGTGTGCTTCGTGGGGTGAGGTGAGGGCGAGAGTCCATGCAAGGGGACACACACACAGAGAGAGAGAAGGACGAGTGTGTGTGCGGGCGGTGCACGGCTCTCTCTCCCTCACTCTCACGCGGCCACCACCGCAGCAGCAGCCGCACACGCAACAACAAGAAGAAGCAAAAGAGGGGAGGTAGTGTGGGAGACCGCGGTGCTGCCGTCACTGTTTTCTGTATTCGTCGTATGATTTGTTTGAGTGGCGGTGGTTGTTTTTGCTGTTTGTGGTGCTGCCTCACTGAGTGTTGGAACAACGTTGGTATTGCCAGTTTCAAGGCCGTCGTGTTGTCCTTCAGAGCTTTGAGCATCATTCTCCTCTGCTTTATTCTGGACATGATCACCGCTACCACTTGTAGAGGTAGATGAGGTTGTTGGTTCTGCTGGACTGCCGGTTGCTGCATTCTTCGTCGAATCCTCTGTGTCCGTGTCATGTCTGTGCTGCCCTTGTGTAGCATCCCCTGAAGGCGGTTCCGGTGCTTCGGATTCCATTTTGGATCCTGACGGTGTGTTTTCTTTCTTTGCTTTGGTTACTTTCTGTGAGCTTTCTTTTTCTGCTGTTGGGCCTCCCGATGGTATTGGTGGTGGTGGTGGTGCGGGTGATGATTGTGGTGCCCCCTCATTATTTTTACCCTCGTGTGTCTGGAGTTGTACCTTATTTTTTTCATTTTCGCCTTTTTTATCCTTTTCTTCTCCATTTTCATCATCATCACTATCTTCACCCCCAGCTTCCTCTATATGTGGGGAAGATTCGGGTGGCACTTTTCCATTAACATCTGGTGATCCAACTTTTAAATCCTGGGTTTCTTGTCGAGGCGTTCCAAGTTCTTGTGATTCCGGCGGAGGCCCATCACCACTCCCACGAGCTGCTGTCTCCTCCCCGTCACATCCACCGCCGGCACTGCACCACAGCACGCAGAGGGCAAACACCAGCAGCACACGGCCAGTCATCACCATCGCCATCACTCCTGTCACTTGCGTGCAGCCTTCAGCACAAAATAACTCCCCGTCAACGCAGAGCGAAAGCAAAAAAAAGAAAGACAACTCACACAGCCACGCCACAGCAACAAAGTGAAAAATGATGACAGCTTGCACACACCATGAGGCAGTTGGAATCAGTAAAGGGGCAAAAAAGGCAAATACACAGCCCTGCAGCAATTAATCAGCAAGAAAAACAATAAAAACAAAACGATTAAAAACACAAGTAAAACAGAAACAAAAAATTTTAATAAAAGGAGCTGCACCGAATGACGCCATTGTGAATGCATCCACACGCAAACATGCGTCCACGCAAACAGTTGTGGGCGTGTCGTGCATATAAGTGTGCCTGGTACGCGTTCAACGTGATAAATGTGGGGCACAACGCGGAGCACACAGCAGGGCAGCGGAAGCAAATGAAGCAAAACACAATCATTATTTTCTCTTATTTATTTACATCGGACTGCAGTGGACGCACACAAATCCCCGTGGCTGAGTGCTGGCACGCACAGCCCGCATACACACCTCTTCAGCCCACAGTGGTGTACGCCAGCGCGGATACGGCGAGCAGCAGCGGGGCACACACCCACGCAGAGCTGCTGAGGCTGCCGTCGACTTCGCGCAGAAGTGACGGTGCGCGGGTAGTCGTCGTACTTGGTGCCTCTGGCGTATTGGTCGTCGTCGTGGTCGTGGTGGTGGTACTTGGTGCCTTTGTCGTTGTCGTTGTTGTTGTCGCAGTTGGTGCATTTTCTTTCTCATTTTGTTCATTTGACATATTGCTCTTATCAATACCTGCATCTTCAGTAGTGGGTTTCCCATCATCTTGATCCTGTGTATTATGGGAAGTATTTGGTGGCTGTGGCGTTTCGGTTACTGTAGCCGTTGTATGTGACGCAAGAGTCTCCATTTTTTGTGAATCTTCCGTCCCTCTCCCTTCTTCGTTTTTCTCTGGTGGAGAAGGAGTTTTACCAGGCGATTCCGTCAAATGATCTTGTCCTTCTGGATTAGAATTTGTTGAACCGGAATCTTTTCCAGCCTTACCAGCTTTATCCTCACTCTGCGTCATGCACACGTACGGGCAGCAGCACAGGGTGAGCAACAACAGGGCGCACAGCAGACGGCACGTAATCATCGTGAGTGTGGTCGTTCAGTGGTGTGGAGCTGATCTGCACAGTGAGGGACATGGAGAGCAACAGGGGAGACGAGAGGTGCGGCAGACACACACACAGAGGGCACACCACATGAGGAGAGAGCGGCAGCCAGGCATGCACCGTACGCCACACACCACGCACGACACACACTCCAATCCACGGCAGCAGACACACACACACACACAGCCCTGCCGCAGCACCAACACACAGATGGAGGAGGGAGAAGCAAACAGGAGCGGCACACAACGCTCCACCGCATGTACACACGGAGAGAGCGGTCCGTCGTGTCGGCACCCCTCACGGAGGGTACGCACACACACAAGAATAGGTGCAGCGCACACAGCAACAAAAAAGCAAAGTAACAATTAAAAAGGAGATCCCCGCACACCACGTGGATTGTTGGTCCACGGGAAGTGCAGCCAATATTCATCACAAAAACAGTTCAGTTGCCATCGGCCCTCGTTCATATTCAGCGCACACCACTTCATGCAGGCCCGGACGCCACCACCGCAGCAGCGGCCGCACACGCAACAACAACAAGATGCAAAAAATGGGAATTGGTGTAGAAGACCGCGGTGCTGCTGTCGCTGTCGGCGGTGGTCGCTGTTCCTTTTTCATTGTTGGTGAATGATGTTGTCGTTAATTGTTCCTGCTGTTTGTCTGGGAGTCATTTGGGAAGACAACTGGTGTCCTGACACTCCGTCAATGCCTTCCCCGTCCCGTCGATTTCTGTGCTCGCCGGTGGTGTGGTGGGTCGCTGGGGTAGGCGAGACGCTGACAGGGCTGCCAGCACCATCTGACTGAGCTTGGTCCGCTGTGTTCTCGTCCCAGTCCCACTGCACCAGCTGCTGGGGGCGGTGCAGCAGTCATGCCAGAAGCACCAGCAATGGGCTGGGGTGCCGGCCGCATCATCAATAAATGGGTGTGTGTCCGCAATCGACAGGAACTTGCATCGACAGGGACGTCTGCACCGACGCTCGGGGATGGGGAACAGTGGCGCCAAGCGGAACAGTGCACGCCACCTCGGAAAATCCGCAGGGCGTGTAGTCGCATGAGGCTGCGTTGTGGTCTCGCGGCGACGGAAATGAATGGCGGTGCTGGTGGCGTTCTCTTCGTGCGTCCCCTCCGGCCAATCCTTGCAGTAAACCCATTGCCTGAGTACATTTGATTCCGCCTGAGAAGCCAATTAAAATGTTCTTTCCTCTACATGTATTGTACTCGTAACTGGCCACGGTCGCCCGCAATGCCTCCAGCAGATCCACCTGAGATGCACGGTTAACACAATCCACATTCACTCGTCGTGCACCATCCAACACCATATTTTCCTTGGAGCTATGAACAACACCGGGCACACACTCCTTTTCGGCCGTCCACGGCATGCGCCTGCGGTGAGAATCCGGAGAAAGTCCCATTCCTTTTGTGCACAAAGTCATGGAGCTGCCGCCGTTAAGCGCGTCCCGGCGAGGGCAACAAAAGCCCGCCGCAGCACTCACGAATGCCCACCTGTTGCCTCCTGTGCAAAAAAAAAGTGATCATGGAGGGAAAAGCGTGCACAAATGCCCTGGCAAGAAAGGTCAGCACCAGCGGATGAACACTAAAGCCGTGGGTGCATGCTCCACAAATGTCCTTCCTTTTTTATCCGCCTTCTTAGTGGCAGAGAAATGGTCCGCAACCGCACAGGCAGGCGAGAATACAAAAGCAAAAGGCGAGCAGCGCGGCCGTTGAAACACACACACGCGCATCGTATTGAACACTTCTTGGAGAGAAAGGGAATGCAGACACAAGCGCACACAATCCCCATGGACACCCGCAATCGTGTGTGTTTGTACATTTCCCACTCTTTGGCCGTCGATGCATTCCTGTGCGTGTCTCGCCCCTAAGTCCTACTGCCGTAGGGTGCCAAGTCCCTGCACACACACATCTCAGGACGCAGCAGCGAGGTTTCCCAATGACCACCTCACGGCTATACCTTTTGGATACCTCATGGACTGAGCGCCTCTCGCTGCAGGCCAAACCACCCAAAACAATCAGCAGAATGCGCTGAGGAGTTGTGAGGGCAATCGTCCCACCACCGCCACCACCCAGATCAGGATGATTCTCCCATTTGCCACCACACCCTTGAAATGGCCCGGCGTTGTCCCCTGCTGCTCCACTGTTTTGGCCACCACTCGCGCCATTTGGCCCTATCACATGATCGCGCTGCACCGATGCCAACGACAGCCCAACCCGCAGCGTCCTATTCCTGCCCGTCTCCATAAGCATGCAGGCATGCTTCAGAAACGGATCCTCGTCCGTCGCGGCGTTGCTCGCAGAGGCACTCGTGCTCCGTCCGCTCTGCGCCGACGCCGTGCTGTATCGTTGCACGCTCCCGGCCATCCTCGTCACATGCTCAAGGTTCGCAAGCAAATGGGCGTCGGGCGTCAGTCCACCGTCTTGGATCAGCTGCTGCTTCTTGGCCTCCGTCAACTCGTCGGTGCTGCTCGCAGCCACAAGCAACAGGAAAAGACGCAGACGCACTGGCCGGGGCATCGCGGCATCCCTCGTCAGGTGCTGCACGCCATCCAGGTTTTTCCTGAAGGGTTTGAGCCCAACGGCAATGTCTTGCTCCACCTCCCGCACCTCCGCCAGTCGCTTCTCCCGGTACTGTGCCACAAGCCCCGCGCAAGCATCGATGTGCAGCGACAGTCTGGCTTGCCTCTCCCGAAACTCCGGCGAAGCCCGCACCGCACTGCTCAACCTCACAAGATTGGCCTTCGGCTCCACTCCCTGCGCCAATCCCGGGTGATACGCGTGGAGTTTTTTCAGCGCCACCGAAAGCTCCTCCACGCACTGCGCAAGAAAACAATGACGGTACGAGCGCCAGTACACATCTTCCTCATCCACCAATTACTGCCGCTTCGAGTTCGCCCCAGAGAATTCCTACAGGTCTGCTCATAAACTTTATTCCCCAGCGGCATCAGGTCATCAAGCAGACACTGACATGTGCGTTGGCACATCAGCGGCGTCACCATGACACAGCCCCAATCAACGATGATCCGCACCGGGTTGCCGCAGCTGTCGGCGCCCCCAAGTGAAATCCGGCTCGTCGTGGTATTGCCTGGCAAGCCCATGGCAGATACTGCCACTGTTGTGGTGGCGAATGACAGACACACTGTTGTTCATGGCGTGAAGAGCCGCCACAAGACGTGACGCCGCAACGTCCACAACGGACACTCAATTCGGAGGTGACAGTGGCGACAGCAGCTGAGGGAACCCATTCTGCATGCTGAGGTGGAACACCAGCACCTCAGGGGCAGTAAAGTCTAACACCATTTCCTTCAAACGCATCGCCCTCGGCGCTATCCGAGCCCGCGCGAGTTGCTGAGGACTGCGATGCGGGGTGCACCCCAGCGCAAAGACGTGTACATCCCTGTAAGGAACCTTTGCCATCCAATCCTCAACCACGCGACTCACAGACGCATCCTCCACGGAAAAAGTACAACGCAGGGCTACTCATAATCGGCTGCCTCGGTGTCAAGAGGTCCTCGAGCAACGTCATGTCGTGTTCCATGAGGCCATGGGGACGCAGTGAGCAGCTCAGCACAGACGCAGTATGGGCATCGCAGAAAAAAACTTTAAACGATCCATGAACGGCGTTAAGCATCTGGCAGGATATATAATCCCGCACACAACCACAAACGCAATTGCTGGGCTCACGCAGTTCCCACGCTTCCGACGGCCTTGCTCGCACCAACCCGCCCCGCATACTATGTCAAGTAGAAGCCACACAGGCAATGTGATTGGGTATGCGTATGTGTGTGTCTTGTGTGCGCACATTCCACTCGCACCCCGTTGTGTGTATTTGCTTCTCAGAAAATCTAACAAACACACAAGCAATGCCATACGACCATCTGGTGTCCCCAACATCGGCAATCAACACAAGAAGAGCTGTGTGCAACGGAAATACAACCAATCTCAAATAAAAGGTCAAACGGAGCCCATGCAGCACATGCATATGGAGAAAGGCACCCATTGAAATGGATGTTTTTCTATTGGACATACAATGGTGAGTGCAGGCCACGCAGGAGGAAGCACAATCGCCTCGCAGCGCAACGCCGTCCACACCGCAACTCGATGGAGTGTTGCCACGGCGGCAGCAGCAGAGGCAAGCAGAAGAAGCAGCGGACAGGGACAAGCAGCAGCAGTGTCATCACCGGGAGTCGGAGGCGTGTCCTGCCTGCCGTCCGTCTCGCTGCTTCGGTTCCTGCCACCGAGAGAAGATTCTTGCGGTCTGTCAGGGCATCCTGGCCGGATCCACTTCTCCTCTGGCGACGGATGCTTCTGGGAAGAAGCCGTGTCTACATCCTTCGGTGGGTGCCGCGGCCGGTCTCAATGCTCTCCGCAACGGGGACAGATGCCCCGTGGCAGTCCTTGTTCAGTAGGTGTCGGTGGAACCGTCCTGTTCCACACCCTCTCTCCTCGCCGTCCCACGGAACCACTGGAAGTAGGCTACCGCTGGTGGCGGATATCGTGCACACCTGCGCGTGGTCACGGCAAATAACGCTTCCCCCATCGTAGGGTGGAGTGGCCCACGCAATCGTTGCCCCGTCCGTGCATGGGACCAACGGATGTTACCCTTTTCAGTCATTTTCAGATGCACCTGCATGCTGAGGCACCTCAATGCCGCATGCGCAGCAGCACTGAAATATGTCTCCTCCGGGTTCCTTGCGTCCGTCGTGTTGGTGGGAAGCGTGTCCAGACACCACAAAGAGGGCTCATCCCCAGGCATCCCAGAAAAATATTCTCCTCTCCAAATAACAGCCCTCAATATTTCTCACATCCAGTGCGGGATCAGTGATGGCGCAACTGTCCATCGGGCGCTTGGCTGACACTTCATGGATACTCCCCAAATACCAACCGCGGGAATAACGATCCGACGCGCAGCGTTTGACAGGGACACCCACGTCGCAAAGCATGTGGGGATATTCACTCATGTTCAGTGCGGAGCACTTCCTCTGCATTCGCCGGCGCACCCAATCGGTGCAATCCACTCATCCCTCGCGTGGCGCCGCGACCAGTGCGACTCCAGCGTCCTCCCGTCCCCATCGTTATCCTGCAGCTCCATGCCGTCAATGTCGTCGCAGTCGTGGTGCTCCCTCGCAGCCATCGCGGCATTCGTCGAGTGCACCACCACCAACAGTGCCCTGCCACGCACACCGGCAACATTCCTCACCATGCTCCGGCCTGCCATTTGAGGGCAGTTGAACCCGACAGCATGGACCATCAGGTGCGCGGCGATGCGTCCGTGAAATAAAACGGCCGGGAAAAGTGCATGGCGCCAGCAACTGGACGGCCATCCCCCAGCGTGACGCACGGCAGTGCCTACACACCACCCAGCACAGCAGCCACGCATTGCGCTATGACAGAATCGGCAAAACCAGTGGAACAATGCCCATCAGGCACCGTGAACCGACTGCAAACGCTGCCCGTGGCAAGTGGGGACACAATCAACGGACCCTCCAATGGCTAGACGAGCAGACGATCCGCATGCAGTTACACAGCAGCAGGGACAGTCTCCTCGGCAAGGATGTTGCCGTGCGCAGAGGTCAAAACACCACCATCAGAGTGGCGATTGTCATTCAATAAATTCATTGCGTGAGACCAGGAGAAGCCGCAGTGCCTTCTGCTGTCACACGGTCTGTAGTTGACGTCTTGATGCGGACGGGCGCCCATGGGCCCTTCCAGACGCCGCTGCACACCCGCAATGCGTCTTGCACCCTGAGATGCATTCTCCCCACCGTAAACGAGAGACTCGCTGTGGGAGCGCACTACATCGTCAAGAAATAAGGGATACTTCAGGGTGAAAGCAAGCCATCCGCTGGCGAACCACATCGCACAGATCATCAATAGCAGCACCAGTAGCGATGCAGACCGTGGGGTTACCGTGGATCAACGGACGCATGCCATAAGCCACAGACAATCTTAATGGCTTTACAAGAATACAAGAGGCTAGCACTTCCTCAACAAAAACAAAAACATATAAAAAAGAAAAGAAATTCAAGTGTCCGCAATCAAAGCAACCTAATAATCCACAAAAAAAAAAGGTAATGGGTGCACTCAACCACAACACCAAGCAAAACAATGAAAAAAAAAAGCCGAAGCGTGGGACGACCAGCGCACACACTCTCATTGCTCCCGTAAAGCAAAACACACGCACAGGGAGAGAGAGAGAGAGAGGTCGCCCACTCAATGCAATAAAAACAAAAACAGTTACGGTGCTCCGCCCATGCAGCCAGGCAGGACGGCAGCGGTGCGTGTCGTGCAAAAGAGAGCACCAACGGGCCTGCATGGGTGTGCATGCATATATACAATGGGCACATTATGTGTGTGCTTCGTGGGGTGAGGTGAGGGCGAGAGTCCATGCAAGGGGACACACTCAGAGAGGGAGTGAAGGACGAGTGTGTGTGCGGGCGGTGCATGGCTCTCTCTCCCTCACTCTCACGCGGCCACCACCACAGCAGCAGCCGCACACGCAACAACAAGAAGAAGCAAAAGAGGGGAGGTGGTGTGGGAGGCCGCGGTGCTGCTGTCACTGTTTTGTGTATTCGTCGTATCTGTTGTGTTGGCGGTTACTGTTGTTGCTTTTGTGTCTTCCTCAGTCCCTTCTGAGCCTTTGTCTCGGTGGCCTTGTGGTGTGGCTGCGGTCGCAGGCGGTGGAACATTTTTTTCGCCTTCACTCGTGGTGTCTTTGCCATCCTTTTCGCGGGAATCAACACCTTCTTCTGAAGGTGATGGAAGATTTCCTCCCGCAATGCCCCCAAGCAGTGTGTTCTCTCCGTTAACTGTTGTGGGTGGATTCTCTACTGCTGGTGTATTTTTTTCGGTTTCCTTCTTTTCTTCAACTTCCGGTTGCGTAAGATTGGCATTTGATTCCCGACTGCCGGAAGGAGAAATGCTCCCAGCAGATGAAATTGACTGGCCTGTTTCCTTCTCACTGCCAATTAAATTCTTTTCCCCGGAATTTGGGTCTGGTGCAACTGTTCCTCCTTTATTACTCTGCCCTTCTTTTCTTTTTTCTTCTTCCTCTTCGGTTTCTCCATTTTCCGTGTCTTCAACTTCTTCATCATCGTCACTATCATCTTCTTCATAATCGTGCTCTTCCTCTGTAGGTATGGAAGATGCGGGTGTTACATTTTCTTTAACGCCTGGTACTCCACCTTGTAAGCCTTTGGGTCCTTCTGGAGACTTTTCAAGAGGTGCTGGTGCAGGTGGAAGTTCAGCACTCCGAAGACCTGCCGCCTCCCCTACATCACATCTACCGCCGGCACCGCTCCACAGCACGCAGAGGGCACACACCAGCAGCACACGGCCAGTCATCATCATCGCCATCACTCCTGTCACTTGCGTGTAGCCTTCAGCACAAACTAACTCCCCGCCAACGCAGAGTGAAAGCAAAAAAAAGAGAAGTCACAAGGCCGCTACACCACACACAGTCACGCCACAGTCACAAATGGCAGCACACACTATGGGGCAGGTGGAACCAGTAAAAGGGGCAAAACACACACACACCCTGCAAATCAGAAATAATAATAAAAATAAAAACTGGGTTAATAGTCCGGCAAGACTCCCGGAAAGGATGAAGAAAATAGATTTCAATTTTATTTCATGTGCCATGCAGCACAATATAGACGGCCGTGTGTTTGTGTATGCATCTTCCCCGCAAAAATAGAAGAAAATAATATGAGAAAAAAGAAAAGAGATCTTGCTGCTCCACCAGCCCACACAACATCCCTTATAATTCGTCCGGCATCCGGCCTGTTCCCTCAATCCTCTTTTCGTGCAGTCCGTGGGACACACAGCAATGAGGCCGGCACCGCGACTGGACAAAAAAGAAAACAAGATGGAAAACACGTCACTCATAATGATGTGTAGAGCAGTTAAACAGCCATTGGGAAAACACAAAGATAATTATTATTCCAATAAAACACAAGCAGCAAAAAAAAAAGCAAAAAGAATTAAAATGAGGTCCTTTACAACATTCGGTAAGCCCCAGCGATGAAGTCGCACCTTGTCGCGGTGCTGGGGCTTTGGTTGCATATAGGAACTGTGTAGCAGGGCGTTGCGGCGAGCACGACGGAGACCAAGACGACTTCACCCCTCGAGAAGGTTCCACGCCATGCCCGGTGTGGGGAGGTGAGGCGGTCTGCCTGCAGACTGTCGGACAAAACTGCACGGCCGTTTCGCTGCGGTCACTCCGTTGATATCACCCGTTGCGGTGACGTCCACAAGAACCCTGGCACCGAGGAGGATGGCTGCATCACTATTTGGCAGCTCAACATTGCAGGCCTCTCGTCCGTAAAAAAGATTGCGTTTGCTGTGCGACTGGAACAGCATCCACCTGACATCGTTCTTCTCCAGGAAACAAATAATCGAAGTGCCACAGCGGCAAAACTATATGACCATAATGGCTTTCTTCGCGCCGCACTGGGTGCGGTGGTGGCGTTGCCATTCTGGTGCGCCACTCTCTGCCGTGCGAGCGCCTGACGCTCCCTGGCACAGACCTCCTGGAGACCATTGCTGTCCGTGCAACTCCACCGGGCTGTCCCAGCATCTGCGTGGTGAATCTCCACAGCCCTCCCACAGCAACCGTTCAGAGCTCTTCTTTTATTATTGCCATTCGTCGCTCAGGCCCCGCAGCGATTATCGCGGGTGAACTGAATTTACATCATGGACTCTGGGACAGACACCTACCTTCAACGACTGGAGGAGAGGATTTGTCCTCTACTCTAATTGACATGGATTTTGGGCTGGCAAATGACCCGGCGCAGGCGACACGGATCACACATCGTAATTTCTCGTCCCCTGAAGTGGCTGCGTATCGCGTGCTACGTGTCACCCACTGGCAATCCACTCCCTACATGGATTCGGACCACTGCTTAATATCTTACTCGGTGGGGATGGATGATGGCATTCCGCGACCAGCCAACACGCTGCCTCGGCGGGAGAAAGCCACCTCTGCCCTGCGTAGAGCGGATTGGCCTGCTTTTACCTCGTTGTGTGAAACACTCCTTGCCGCCGCGTCCACATGGTTGGACATTCGCAGTGGTATCTTACGAGCAGCTGAGCGCCATATCCCGCGCGGCAGCGTGACAGCCCAAAACGATCTGGACAAACAAATTAGAACAAGCCGAGTCCGTCGCAGAAGCAGCACACAAAGCACACACATCGCCTCGCCCGGAGACAGCCTGCTTCGAGACGAATTCATCCAAAAATGTGGAGGAATAAAATCATGCCTTACGCCGTGGCTTCGTTATGCTTCTGGACGCCCGCGCGAAAAACTTGGGGCCTCATCCAGCCCAAGCTGGCGATATCTTCGCGGCGTGGCGGCGCCGCACCCTCATCCCCTGGAATCGGTTGTGCTCCGCACTGATCTTCGGACCGCGTTTGTGCTCTGCCTCGGCAACAGGCAAATCTGCTTTTCCGTCATTTTGTGCGGGTTTCACGTGCCACATTACCCTATACTGCTGCTGCTTGCCGCACTCCATTGCCCCCTGGTGACTGGGAAGTGGATCGAACTTTCACGCCGTATGAACTTGACGTGACCATCTGCGACTCTTCGCTCGGCTCAGCCCCTGGCCACGACAACATGTTGAATGAGTTCCTGCACCGTCTCGGGCCCGTTGCGCGCGGCACACTTAGAACAGTTATCCACAACTCCTTCGCAAATGGCAGTCTGCCTGGCTCCTGGAATACGGTGGAAACTATTCCCATTCCCGAACCTTGGGAAGGGCCCATACCGCCCAGAGAGTTACAGACCTATCAAATCGCTCTCTGTTTTATTCAAGTTAACCAAAAGAATGATTCACCGCCGTCTGTCAGCGATATTGCCGCACCACCCACGTCAATTTGGATTTACACCTTCGCGTTCAAAATCGGATGTGGTGACAATTGTTATCGATCAAATTAACCGTGGATTGAATGAGTTCAGCACTGTGGAGTATGAGCACCCTGGAGGCGGCGCCCCACACATGCCACCCTCGTCACCGTCGCTCGCTCGTAGCCTTGATTGATTTTTCGACTGCTTTCGACACCATTGACCATGGGAAGTTATTCGGCATGCTTGACAGACTCCCGCGCCTTGGCCCCCGAACCAAACGCTGGCTGCACAACTACCTGCGGGGCCGCCATTTTAAGGTATGCACTCGCGAACAGCACTCCCGGAAACAACTTGCCTCAGCCGGAGTACTGCAAGGCAGCGTCCTGGGACCCCAACTCTTCCTCCACTCTGTGGATGATGTGCTACGCCGCATGGAGAACATCTATTCTGCCTCCGCACTCATGTACGCTGACGACCTCACACTTGTTGCCTCAGGTGCGGGCATCCATGCATTTGCTGCGGCAATGCAACCTGCCCTTTCACCTATAACGACATGGGCTGCCGAGCACAACCTAAAAATCAACGTTGATAAGAGTGAAGATGCTCTATTCTACATCTCTTCACACACACGGTCTGACAAGGACATGGCCGATCTCCTTCCTGGCAATGGGAACCTACGTATTCAGTCCCGCCCACTGCGCTTGCTGGACACCACGGTTGAACAAATTCTTAATTTTCGTACGCACGCTTCCACCGCTTCAAAGCAGTCCATGCCACGCCGTTACCAATTGCGACTGGTCGCACAGGCTGGTGCGTCCCACCACACCATGCAATCCTTTTTGATTGGATACGTCCATGGTGTGTCACTATATTATGGTGATGCAATTCTCCCATGCCTCGCCCACACCTACCTCCATAATACGGAAGTACTGTACCGCGACAGTTGTACAACATCCCTTGGCCTAAGCGCATCAACGGAAGATACATCTGTCTACTTGAAAGCCAATCTTCTCACGCTCCGGAAGATACTCTGGCTTCATGCACTCACTCAACACGAACACCATGCACGTTTCCATAATCACGAGGATTTGCGCCCCCTTATCCACTCGGAACCTATGCCGCTGTCCATGCATAGGAAAGCGGCGACATCAATCCCGCTTTCGAAAGATGCCGTTATTAATGGATTAGAACGCGTATGTGGCACTATTGGGATACCACACAACCACAATCACGCTCCTCCTATTACCCAACATCGTATTTTTCCCTGGGACACTGTGGGTTGCAATAAAGTGGAATTTTATCAGCCACTCTTTGCCAACGACGCCTCTGAAGATGTCAAGCGCACGGCTTTTAAATCCCTTTACTCCTCTCTAGAAGATTTTGATTTTGAATTATAGACAGACGGTCCTTCACCCCTCGCTGAAGTCGCATCTGGATCCGCTGCACCATTATACGACACCACAAAGAGAAATGATCTCGCTGTGGAGGACCATCGTGCAGCAGCTGGCAGACTCGCATGCTCATAGAGAGCTGAGTGACTCGCCATTGAAAACGGCTTTAGATATCTCATAATTCCTCGTCTGGAAACATCCCAATCGCCCACACAAACCCCGGTGGCAACGGACTCCCTGTCGGCAATTGAGGCACTCCGCGTTGCCCCAATGGCCGTGCGAGACTGCGTTGCTGAAGGGATTTGGGTTATGCTGCTTTCCTTGATAAAGCGAAGTCACCCTGCAGACTTTATATTTTCCCCATCGCACTGCGGTATCCCACGCACTGAGGCCGCTGACAAAGAAGCCACGATTGCACGATCCCTGCAGCAATGAGGCATCCCAATCTGGCACGTGGACTTCCTTGCCGCCGTCAAGAGGTTGTACTGGAAGGAATTCGAGGAAGAAGAAGTCGCACACACCGCACGCCAGGCGCTCGTCGGTGCAACAAAAGATCGTTCCTAGTGTCCAGGCAGGCATCGGGCATCGAATCGCGACTTCGTGCGCAGGTGCGATGCGACTCCTGTCCACTCCTCGGCAAATCGACACGCGCCCTGCGGATCACAAGCAACCCTTTACGTCGGTGGTGCTGCCCCACTCACACTGAAGAGGCAGGACCACCCCGACCTCCTCCGGAACCTCCACCTGGCGTGTCCACGGCACCTCCTCGTAGAACGACGAGCAGCGGATCAACGTCGCCCTGCCCAAGCTGCAGCAGCGTCTTCTCGTCCGTCCACAATATGAAGGCACACGGCCGACGCACTAACCCTGGCACTCCAATCGTTGCAGAAGGCCTCACATGTGGATTCTGCAACAGCTCCACGGTCTCCCAACAAGTGCCTCACGCGCAGGTCACTACCGGAAATGTCAGGCGTATCAACGAGCAAAAAACGGACAACGCACCTCTGCAAGCTCCAATGACAGCCGTAGCCCTTCAGCCACTCCTCTGCTGCAACCCCACCAGCCGCTGAGCCCCCGACAATCCACGGGAGGCCCTGCCGCACACGCTGTGGGAATGCCGC